TTTCGAGATAATTTTTTGCTATGAATGTGATGATGCATTTTTTTAATTTAGAGAAAATTATCAATATAAGAACAGCACTGAAGCATGAAATTGGGTGTTTCCTCTAAATGAAGAGAGCTTATTCAAATACAGCAATTGGCATTCGCAGATTTATGATTATGGAGCTGTCAAGAAACTATAGAATCCGTAAGCTTGTAAGCCTGGTGCTTACGCTTGATATTCAAATGTTACAGCTGATGTCCGCGGACTAGAAAGCCTTTAGCTGACGTCGGATATTAGAATGTTGAGGCAGGCATTTGAGGAGTCAAATGCCATTTGTTGGCGCTGGACAATAACCGCCGATATCCAAGGACAAGTCCTGACGCTGTATATTCAAATGTTTCGAGTTCTGACTGATATTATTTTACAAGTATGCTTAGAGATACTTAGGACATCAATGTGTTAGCTCGATTCCCGTGGAATTATTGTATGCAAGAGCTAACCCAACATATTAAATGTTACGACCGATGTCCGTGGACTTTAACGTGCTAAGCTGACGTTGGATATTTAAATGTTACGATCGATGTCCGTAGACTTGAGGGCTCCAAGCTGTCGCTCTACATACTGTATGTTGGATATTGTGTGGTGAAAGTATCAATGCAATACTGTAGCAGGAAACTACTACATATAATCCTTTCAATTGGTTGCTGCCATCGAGCCCTGCGGTTTGTGAAAGATTGAAACAATCGAAGTTAAGGCCGATGTTTACTTAAGAGACTTGCGATAATTACTTGAAATATTGCAAAATCAATTGCACTTTAAAGGTCCAGATGACTTAGAACGATAACATAGCAATGATGGGCACATCATTGTGAACGATGAAGTCGCTCCCTACTAGAGTCAGACTACATCCGAGGACAGCTCGGCTAGTACATTTTTCTCTGCAGTCTTTCGAGGAGTGCGGCGGCTTGAAAATTGCTACACAAAACGAGGCCAATATCTGGCCTGTTACAATACAGCTAATGAATAAACTAGTTAACATATATAAGTTTACCAATTAAATTTTCTCAGATTAATGGTGAAAAGTTTGTGAATTGAGTTATAATAAAAAGATTGATACTCGAACCAAATTTCACAAACATAAAAAGTGAATATAAATATCTTGAACAATATTCTGACAAATTGTTAGCGCGTTATATTGATTGGAAACATCTTTTAGTCACTGACAAATATTAAAGGTGAAGTTGCCAAGCAGCAGTACTTTAAAAAGATGACGATTCATTCTGAAACATCATTTGGTGTAAAAGGATTCACAGCTTGAAAGAAAAACTTTATGAAGTGATGAAGTAAAAATTTCATTCGAATTAAAATATCATCAGAGCTGTTTGGGAATAGCAGTTATAATTTTTTTCGACGGTTGTTCCAAAAAATCTTTGAACTGAGAGGTCGAATCTTTAGTGCATATTTACGGAGAATTTATGCCCATAAGAACCTTGGCTTTTCAGCTTAAAAAAACACTTATTTCCCTGAGCGGAAACGAGGAATATTTTTGAGCAGCGTTCGTGCGCTGTTCGTGAACATCATCTCAATTTTGCTCATTAAAGAAGACATTTTTGTGATGAAGGTGCAGTATTTTTGAGGAGCTTTGTAGGTTTTCCTTGCAATATCGCGATGTTCTTTGAAGTTATTCATTGGTTTTCTTTAGTAGAGCATTTCTTGGGGCTATTGTTATCTCGAAGAGCATTGTAGAGGAGCGTTCACAAATATTTCAAACGCTGGAGCAGACTTAAGAGGCCGCAGCTCCAGCCAATCCCGTCAAGTGCTTCCGGACCAACAATCCATTGGTTCTTAGAACCAAGAACCGAGGAGGAACCCATGAGCCCTGTCTTTAAGCCACGTCCTCATTGGCTGAAATCCCAGACCTTCTCTAATACGAGGTCTCTTATTGGCTGGTCGAGGAGGGTTTTTTTAAAGCGATGCCTCTCATTGGCACGCGAGCTTCCAATGAGGGCTCTCAAAGGATCGAGGTTTGGAGAGGCGGCTCTTGACGCAGAAAAGTTGAAGCGTCGGTTTTAGGGAAAATGCCGGAGAGCTTGCAAGAGCCCTTCAGAGAACACTCCTCGCCCTCCGAGTATCATATTACCAAGCACCGCACCACACTTCTTATCTCAAGACCAATTCTAGAGCAACCCTACACCCAAAACATTAATTGTTACTACCACTTGGAGAGATGCTGTGAGTGTTGCAATCCTTGCTACGGGTCGCACCTCTTGCTTGCTGCCGCTGCTCCAACTTACTTTGCATTGCTTCGAGTTCTCGAGTTCTGCTCTTCGGTGCCTTCAAGTGCTACTGCTCGCCGCCAGCAAGACCTGCTCAAGCTCACTTCGTACTTGCCGCACTCCAAAGGATTTTTTTTGTTGTCTTCAAGGGCGACTCGATTCCCTTCGATGTGGTGACTTGGGGGATTATCGGGCGATACACCCACGGGGAAAATACGTCCGTGTCTCAAAGACAGAAAATACCAACAATAAAGTGTACACGCGCGTGAAACTGTCTCTATAACGAAGTGAAGGGAACCTAACAGTGAAATATCGATCGGTGCCTAGAAAATGCAAATTGTATGTGTTTATATTGCTTGTGATATATCATGATGGAATAATTATTGAAATTGGGGAACAGTGTGTTACAAACTAATAAACTTCTACTTTCTTTAATTTTGAAAGCAGTTCCAGTGTTAATGTACTAATGCAGTGAAGTAAAAAATTTTCCTATCTGTGCATATAATTTAAAGAAAATGAATTTATTTGCTATAAATTACGGGCGTTCCACTTACTTAATTTCTGAACTCTCAAGGTGCTCAGTCGCCCCCTCACAATTTGAAGCTTACCTTATTCAATTACGGGGAGAATATTAGAGTTCAGCTCCGATGCCTGGTTTGGTCAAAGTGTGTACTGAGCAATGCAGCAAACCCATTCCTCAAAAATCGCAAAGTTCACTGCAGTTTTATTACAGCCATGCGCCACAACATAATTTATTATATTCCTGCATTCATGTTTTATTTCTTGAATGAAGTGAATAATTACATAGCAAATGATAAAATTTGAAAAGACGTTATAAAAACTTCACAAATAATTTTCGAATCACTTTCAATGAATTTAATTATCAAGAATGGAAATAGCCACTGATTTATTTTATAAACTACTTTTTGTTAATGATTTAAAAGCTTTTCATTTAATTGCAGACAAAATTTTCCGTCAATGTTAATATAGAATATAAGTTGAAATGCCACAGATATCATTTATCGTGCGCTGCATTTTCAGAAGTAAAATATCGAATACTCATGTGACTGCATGGAGATTTTTGTGGCTGGTTGTCTGTTGCAGATGCAGTATAATTGCCTTGCCTAATATTTAAAAAAAATTTATGTATATATAAATATTCTTGTTTAAAAAATTTATAGAATGAAAATGATGGACAGTTGTCAAACTTATATATATAAATACTTCTATGCAACAACAATCAGGGAAACGAAGACAATTCAAAGATCTATATTATACATATTATTTTATTATATTATTATAAATACAGGGTGTCCCAAAAAACGATACCCAACTTTGAATGGCTGTAACTCAAAAAAGTAATTAATAGAGTTAAAAAAATTTGGAAGGTCAGGGTTTGTTCCCTATGTTTTTCTGCATCTCTCCACCAAAAATCAGACAGATCGATGTAGCCATAAGCGTTTGATAGAACTTTCAGTGACGTGTGCTAATCCAAAGATTGTCATGATTGCCTCTCACCAAAGATTGTCATGATTGTCTCTCACAAAGATTGTCATGATTGTCTCTCACCAAAGATTGCCATGTTTTTGTCTCACCAAAGATTGTCATGATTGTCTCTCACAAAGATTGTCATGATTGTCTCTCACCAAAGATTGCCATGTTTTTGTCTCACCAAAGATACAAAAAATAAAACAGCGGAAAGAAAATATGTCAAGACATCGTAATGATTATGCAAAATGCTCTTACTAAAACTTTGCGCAAGCACGATTTTAGCACACGTCACTGAAAGTTCCATATAACGCTTATGGATACATCGATCTGTCTGATTTTTGGTGGAGAGATAGAGATAAAAATAGGGAACAAATCCTGATATTCCAAAATTTTTTAACTCTATTACTTTTCGAGTTACAGTCATTCAAATTTGGGTATGGTTTTTTTGGGGACACCCTGTATACTTTTATTCATAACGTTCAACTAAAAATGCTGACTTGTCGCTGATCAATGGTTTAAAGAAAAAACTCGACTCGATTTGCAAAAATCGTGTTAAATGTAATTCATATTAATTATCTTTGGATTGAAAACATGTGAAAAAGCGTGAATTTTTTTCAATTTTGTATAAGTGTCCTGTCCAAGTTTCTGTCCTGTTTAAATAATTAATATCAACCCTAAAAATTCGAAATGACAAATATGTTCTCTGCTTCTCCGGCCTAGTGCATGTAGCTGCAGTCCAGAGAATAATTTGAAATATTGTTTCATATGATGAGGCAGGCATGTTCGTAGAAAAATTCAATCATGCTTCTCATCATAATTAATTTTTTTAATTCTCTTACGCAAATTTACTCATTCCTACAATGAATGCCATGTTTCAGTAGCATTTAATATAAATGAAGATAAAGCTAATAAGTAAATAACGATGGGTGAAGGTTGAACCTCACTTATCTATGTCTTCGCAATTAGATTCATAGAAGCAATAGCAATTTTCGAAGCGAGCATCGTGAATCGTGTTATATAATAAAAAACTTTATACTCGAACCAAATTTCTCCACGAACATGAGAAGTAAATATAAATAAATTAAAGAATATTTTGCCAAAATTTTAGCGCGGTATTTTAATTACAAAACATCATTTTAATTAACATCTTATGAGCCGTATTTATTAATGCAGCAATACTTTCACTGACGATAATTACAGTAATGCATTGCATTTATTATTCAGCTTTATCCGTTATTTTTCAGGTCCGAAAGAAATGGTTTCATTTATTTGTTTGCTTGGCTGTAGTTTGGAAGCTCCACGTCACAAAAATGAACTAGATTGTGCACAGAATAAAATATAAACGGCTGTTCTTTGCAACTTTCTGTTGTTTTATAGAATCTTCATGAAGTGTCTTGGTGAAAAAAATGTAATTCGGTGTCAAACTTGAGCGATGTTTAGTTTTTGCCGCTGAAACAGATAACAATTTGGTTACTCTCTGTAAAAAAACAGGCTGGGCGTTGATGACATCAAATGTTATAGCGCGCCTCCTGCAGTGTACGGATGAGTAACGTAACTACGTCGCGACCATCACACGCGACGTCTAACGTCTTCGCTGCGAGGACTGTAAACCACTGCGTCTATCTGCCACGCTACAGCTCACTGCAACTCTCACTACACTGCATTTTGAGCCATAATACAGCATATTGAACCATAATACATAATACCATAATCAATTTAACAACGCATCACCATGACTCAACAACGAAGATTTTCGATGATACAGTGTTAGAAATACGTGTTTTTCTGTAGGGATTTTCTACCAAGATTACCATCAACAATTATTAACATAAATTACAATATAATACATCATGCTCATTCACTGCTGGGCGCTGTTTTTAGATTTATTCGCTATCATATTCGTAAATTCACTGAAATTTCCCTAATATGTTTTTAAAGTTTGGAACGTACAAGTTTTTTAACTTTTAAAATGTCAACACAAATGAGCTGTTGAGATTTATTGAGCTTTTGATTTCCTTATTGCGCATCATCTTCAAATAAGTTTTGTTAAATTGGTTTAAATCCCTGATAATTCAAAATCACTTTAGAAGAAAGCTTTTTTCACTTCCAACCTCCTACCAGTACTTACCTATTTTTTATTGTTTAGATTCATTTGAGGACTCTAAGTTTCTTTCAAGAATTTATGCAATCATCATGCAATGAATGCATGGTTGCTGATCAAATTTGTGAAAATTTGGCGGAAATAATTTTTTGATTTCTGCAACCTTGGAGGTAATAACTCAGTACGTACACTTCACATGCCATTACTTCTATCAACCGTTACTTCATTCATTTCAAGTTACTTAATTCGGCTTGCATTTTGCTGGAGCTTCTGACATCGTAACTCCAATATAGTAACCCTGGTGAATACGCACCTTCAGAACATTGCCTTCTACATTAGCAGTACAAGAAATATCTACACTAAATAGGAGCGCACATATCGTAACTCAGGAACAAGAGCACTCCATGGCCTGCTCACGGACAATTGCAGCATTTCAAGGTATCCAACTCCCGTAAAATTGGAGCTGGTCAAGGTTTTATACACCGTAAACATTTTAGTTTTCTAAGGCATCCTGCTCCCCGACCATCTGAGTACCGAGGCCTGCTAGTTCCTATACATAAGACCCATACCGAGCCCACCTTGGGCCCCCCAAGACCTACCCAAGCCCACCTCGTACATAAGCCCACTTCGTACCCCAGCCCACTTCGTACCCCAGCCCACCTCGTACCCAAGCCCACCTCGTACCCAAGACCCACCCTGACCATGAGTATAAGTCCCAGAGTGGGTGTGACGTCATCGAACCCTAACGCAGCGTTCTCCGTAACGTCGCTCCTGAGTCCCCTGGACGCGGCCTTAGCATCGCCTTCGTACTCGGCCTCCATCGCCGACCAGGCTGCCAGGGGGGGCATCACGTCCTCTGGTGGGGGGCTCGCCCCCTGTGCTTCTGTCACGGACTTTGCCACGGCGGCCGTGGCGATGCAGAACCCGTATGGCATGAGCCCTATGGCTCATATGGCACAGTTCGGCTCAGCAGCATCCACGTACCAGTACTGCAACACAGATCTCAGCCACTACCCCGCCTCAGCCGCCGCATGGTACGGCTCATCCACAACCGACCCCAGATTTGCCAGTGAGTACATTGGGTTTCTTGTTGCAGTTGTTGTACGAGTAGAATTGTGTCATTAGAAATTTAAAAGCGAAGAAAACGCCACAAAAATTCAGCATATCTCTATTGAAAACGTTTCGCAGACCAGCATCATCGTCAGTTCGATAATCGAACTGGCGATGGAGCTGGTCTCCGAAATGTTTTCAATAGAGATAGGCTGAATTTTTGTGGTGTTTTCTTCGCTTTTAAATTTCTAGTGAATCTGCGATTAAAGCAATCTAGCGACTTTATGAATTGTGTCATATGCCAGCTATTAACTTTATGAAGTTCCTGTGATTTTGGTTGACATGCCCAGCGTAGGTTGTTCTGTCTGACTAAAAGTAACAATTTAAGCTTGCGTATAATGTGTGTTGCATTTTTGGTGCCCCGTAACACGATGACGTCAGAGTTGCGTCATGTGTGAACTACCAAACCCACTCATCCAGCGACATGTAATGGTGGTCGCTTAAAATCATGCGATATGAGTAGAATTTCTTCCATAATAACATTGATGTTGTTGCTAGGCCAGCGCATTTTGTGTGAGTTTTCCAGTTGTTAGGTTTGCTGTTGTTTGAGATACACTCGAGATATTCAGAAGGCAAACTGCTATTAATATGCATCCGAAAGTACTAAACATAAAATCGGAGTTTCGATGGATTTAATAAGTGAAATTTTTTCATTTGATAAGTATATATAAGAGCTTTTCGTGAAGATCATTTTACTAAACTGCATTTGTATCGCATGTAGCACACTTGAGATAAGCTGGCCACTCCACAGTCAGGATTAATTCTATTTCTGTTCTGGTGTCGCTGCTTTTATTGCAGGCAAAGGCTCCTCTAGTCCAGGATTCCTTTGATAAATTGAGTTTGCGAGCGACCATGCAGTAGTTGGGGTTTATCACTGTCATCTGCCCAGTCAAACCGAAATTATTATAATATATATAAAAACACATTATAATTGTCGGTTCAGACGTTTGAGATTGTCATTTTCATGAAATTTTATGTCGCATAAGTAAACTTGCCTGCCAAATTCGGTGTTAATCGTCTTAGTTTCTTCCATCGCAGCGATCATAAATGCCAGCAGAAGTTTGCAAGAATTCAGTTGACGTGAATTCTTTGCCCTCCAGGCAATGAAACAAGCCACGTTTCTGAGCAAAGCTCGTTTTAAACAAGAGCAAATATCTCAAGCTTCTTACAAATGCGACAATTCCTGAATTTAGAATCCAGGCCCGAATAAACGTTACAGAATTCAAACGATTTAGTTTAATATTTTTTATACCCAATAACGACCCATTTGTATTCCTGAGTTATTAAAAATAAGATTACGAACACGACATTAAAATTGAGGGGAACTTCTCGGAATGCGTACATGCATTCCAACACTCTGATCGAAAACTCCGAAATACGGGCGTTGCTGTTAATTCTAGTAGATAATTTATTTAACAGAACTTGAAATGGAAGTTTTGCAGTTTATTTGATTTAGCATTAATTTTGAATGAAGAAAATAATGTTACTTATCTTTTCTATCCATCTCATTATGTGCAATAATCTTGGTGATGTTTGATATACAGGGTGTTTCAGAATTAAGTAACCCTTTTAATTTCATGATATTCAGAGCAGACTCAAACGAATTGATTGACGGACTGAGCTAATGGATAAACAAATCATTTGTTGGTGCAAGAGCTTTACCATTTATTATATTCTGCAAAGAGAGCCAGGAAGGAAGACAAGCGAGAAAAGTGTTCATGATATAGCGCGTGCGACTCATTGATATTCTTGTAACGCGAAACGAGCGAGCTTTAAAAATCCAGAGAATTTTTAAAGAATTGCGGCTACTTTATTATTTGTTCATAGGATCATAATTCACACCCGCAGCACTAGTAAATGATAATGCTTGAAGTACGTGAGGAACAACAGGCTTTGTGTCGCAGGTGTACGAGTTGGAGCGGCGCTTCAAGCAGCAGAAATACTTGAGTGCCCCCGAGAGGGAACACCTCGCGTCGCTCATCAACCTCACCCCACAGCAGGTCAGCCACCTCTACACTAGAAAATATATAAATAAAATAAAATATAAATAATATATACTAGAAAAAAATTAAATATAATAATAAAATACTACAAAATATATAAATAAAATATACAGAAGATAATTCTAGTTAACAGGAACAATGATACCAACAGCGCTGACCATGGTTAAGGTATGCCTGGACACAAGGTTAATGCAAGTATAGCATCAGTACTGAAATAAGCTGGTCGTGGTTGCCTGAATGTTTACTCACAATCAACATGAACTTTTTTACATGACAAATAATACTTCGGTCAGATTGAAGTTTGATTTCGGATGGAACAAGAAAGAAATTTTTTAATCTGTTGAATATTTCGAGCATTATAGTAGTAGTAGCTATGTCCCCGGGAAGGTTGAGTATTATTCTGATGTAGGTTTAGACATCAAGGCAGACCATTATGAATTATTTGCACCCAAAATTATAGATACATTTTAATATTTATTAGAAAAAATTTCTCTGATGATTCATTTATTTTAACAAGAATACCAATAGCGCTGACAACAATAAAGGTATGTCTGGACACATGCTTAATGTAAGCAAGCCTCAGTAATAAAATAAGCTGGTTGCGGTTGTCTGTATGTTTGCCTACGCTCAACAAAAATTTTATTAAATGATCAGATTTAAGATTGAAGGTCATGAAGATCAGATTGAAGTTCGGTTTCGGTTTGATCAAAAAAGGAATTCCTCAATCCATTGAATATTTTTTAGCATTATTATAGCTATGCCCCCAGGAGGGTTTTAGACTTCAAGGCAGACCATTATGAGTTAAATGCACTCAAAAATATAGACGCATTTGAGAATTTATCTGAAAATCTTTTTGAAAAAATTTCTCTGATTATTCATTTATTTTCAAATTTATTTGAAAAAATTTCTTTGATAAAATAAATTCTTTACCGCAAGTGCACCGTGTTACAAAATGAAAATCTGTCACACCTGTGCCGGCTGAGCTGAGGTGTTCATCCCCCCAAATAATTGTGTAATTCATGTAAAAATGTTTGCATAAAAAGAATGAATCCATCGTCCCTTTGGGTCTGATATTATTTAAAAATATTCATTAATTAAATGTCTGTGATTGGAGTCGAAATATATCTGTTTTCAATGTTTAAATATGACGAAGAATTAAAACCCTATGAGAAATGCCAATAATTCGTTGACTAATAACGATTAAGTTCAAGGTTGACGAACAAGATACGATGATGTGCCATTTTCGTTCATGGAATGACTTGTGAATGGTTATATCCACTATTATTTTTAGGAAATTGTTAAATTCACAATATCATGTTGTGTTATTAAAAGAGTTATTCGTTGACGGACTGGCAGTAGGACTGCGATACAGTTGATCGATTGTCGTCCTATTTTGAGTGGACGGTAGGCTCAGAGTTCATATGAGTAAAATGGAGAGTCTGAAAAAAAAATCTTGGGATAAAGTTTTATATGATTGCCGTCGCTTCGTTTAAAAGGATATGCGGAGCCGGATGCTTCTCTTGCAGCTTTGCATGGAAATTGTTTTAGCTACAGCCAATTTCCAACAATTAGAATGCAAAGAAAATCAATAAAATCGCTTAACTCTCAGTATAACTTCCGCTCACTTACTAACTATCGAACAGGCTTAGTAAATAATCATAAAGAAGCGAGTTTTTGTGTGATATAATTATTGAAGGCATTCGCTGGATGAGCTTTTCAGTGCGGCGTCATCTGTTACAATATATAAGGCATCGAACTGCACTTAATTGTATCGCAGTCCATGATCTTAACCACGGAGCTAATCCTGTTGCTGCGTGGGGTGAGATCATGTCAACTTGTAGAGCTGCTCTGACATCGATGAACGCATCGTGAAATAAGTCCAGAAAGCTTCGAATTCAATATGTACCTTTCAGATTTTAGATCATTTATGATCAAATATTTACATGAAATCGCGATGGACTTTTAAAACAGCAATAATCAATTTTTTGGATTAATAATAATTTAAGTAATAACTATTTTTGTCTCAATTATATATATATAGATCAAATTGAATAATGACTTCGTTTTTTGGCAAATCGGCCCCTTTTAATAAATTTCTCATCAAAAACATCAGAAAATAACGAGTAAAAAGATTGGCATGCAAGCATAGACAATAAAGTCTCTCAAAACTGCGTTTGAGCTGCTATCTCGACTTATCACCGAGCCTTCAATAAACTCAGCTCACGGAACTCACATGTAAGGGACAGTCAGAATAGCGATACCAGAATGCAAGTAGTGTTTGTGGTTCAGTCAACGGCTTCGTCACGTTTTTAAGTTAGTTTTAACGTAAATTATTCGGTCACGTTACTACGCCCTCTTTACTCGTTTGCAACTCCATCAGTGGCGACGTGTTCTCTGTTTATTCAATCGCATATACGTAACGCTGTGTTAGCTCGAGCGTAGATCTCGCGATCCTTACATCATCACGTAACTCTGTCGTCACTCCGCGCTACTATACTGATGTAGATAACCACCTTACCAGTGACCGATATCATGCACACTTAGTAGTCGTTCGCCACACTTCATTGAATTGAACGTAGATCATTTGCCCAGCGTGTTATACAACACGAAAATCACTCGATCACCTCATTATCTCGTACGTAGATCACTTATCTTATACGAAGATAACTCGACCACCTCATTATCTCGTACGTAGATCACGGCCCACGTGGCAGCGTAACGGTCTCCTGGAGGCACGTGCTGTGAGCGCGACGACGTGCGATATTGGGGCCCTCGCTGCGCTATCTGATCTTATAAACGGCCGAGGAAATTTCGCAAGCTTCATACGGTTTTTATATTGTAATATTAATCGATTTAAAGAGAGGAGACACGTACGAGTGGGTATACATGATTGAATTTGAAGTTGTTCATTGTTTATTGATTAAAAATTCCAGAACTAGTACGAAAAAATAGAAATAATGGCTATTGCATCACGCAACACATTACCCTCACACAACAAATTACTCTCACACAACACATTACCCTCACGCAACACTTTACCCTCACACAACATCAACACATTACCCTCACGCAACACATTACCCTCACACAAGATGCAGGATGGCAGGTGCTGCATCGCAATAAGGGCGGATGATCTGCGCGATCGTTTGACACGGAACTCCTGCTAATTGGATCGCGCGGCGAGGGGACGGTGAGCTGAGCTTTTTATTACGCCAGATCAAATCCTGTTGAGATCGAGATCACCTGCGTAATTTATAACGCTTATCAATTGACCAACTTAGAGGCGCGCGTCTTTTGTCAGGTTAACACGATTACACTAAATTGCATACCAGTATAGCAACGAGATTATACAATATTGCGTCCCGGTCTTGATACAGCAACACGATTACTCAAAATTGCATACCAGTCTTGATATAGCAATGCGATTATACAATATTGTGTCCCTGTCTTGATCATACAGCAACACGGTTACACTAAATTGCATACCAGTATAGCAACGCGATTATACAATATTGTGCGTCGCGTTCTTGATACAGAAACACGATTATACATTATTGCGTCGCGTTCTTGATACAGAAACACGATTATACAATATTGCGTCGCGTTCTTGATACAGCAACACGATTACACAACATTGCATCCCGGTCTTGATACACTACACGATTATACAATATTGCGCCCCGGTCTGTATACAACTACACTACACGATTAAATAATATTATATCTCGGTCTTGATACAACTACACGACTATACAATATTACGCCCGGTCTTGATACAACTACACGATTATACAATATTGTGTCCCAGTCTTGATACAGGGACACCAGCATGCAATTTTGTATTGCATCGTACAATAATATTATTGTTAAATATTGAAATGATTCATCACTGTCTTAATGCAGTGAAATTTCTGGATGCATTCTCACCAGAAGGGAAATGTCTACAGGAGAGCATTTACTTTGAACAAAATGAGATTGTTACAGTTAGGTTCTGCTGTAAATTAAAGATAAAAGCAATTAAAAAAGCATGACACGTAGATAAAATTTTTTAACAATAATAGTAAATTGTGTCTAACTAATAATACATTGGAGATTTAAAATTTTTAAGGTCTCAGCATTATTATCGGTAGTGAACAAAACTGCATCGAATAATTTAAGTTTTGTATTCTACAAAGAAATTGTCCCTCAATTCAAAATTATTTATTTGTATATATGTATTTAGACATTTGTAATATATTCATTCCCGAGCGACGAAAAGCAACTTAGTAGAAATTATTGTTGATTGAATCTAAATAAGGAAAATCAGAACAACATCTTTACTTCTAAAAAAATAGTTGAATGGACAGATCAAGAAGGAAGTAACACGTACTAACTAAAAAAATTTTTTGCGTCAATGTTATTTTTAATTTAAGTTTAATTTATATACTTTTATATTTTCCTTAGAAACATTTAAAAATATACCCGATAGGCATAAAACAGCGTTTGAACTTATTAACAGCTCCATCGTCTTAGAAGCTTCACATCCCAATGTTAAAAAAAACTCGGAGAGAGCGGAGATTGAAAACTAAAAGACACTCGCAAAGGTGAATTGACTCCGCGAATCAGTGCGGAGATCTGGTCAATCTCCCCTCGTTTGGCTCACGGCAGTCGCGCTGTTGTTCGCTGGTCTTTGATGTGCCGTAGAAGTGCGACGTTAAAACCGTCACATGTTGCACGTCCTCACAAACCCTCGGATTAACTGCCAGTCTCAGCTAATTTCCGTTATGACGTCACGAGACGAGGGCGTGACAACGGTTGTGACGAGTGACCGCAGCTGTGATGGATCCCACGGACGAGGGTGATTATGTGCACATAATACAATCAGACATATACAATCAGGCTTAATAATCTCACCTGGGGTACTAAATCCTGTAATTTAAAACTAAATCCTGTTATTTATACAGGAATCCTGTAAAACTAATCCTGTAATTTATACGAGCATATCCTGTAAAACTAAATCCTGTAATTTATACGAGCCCATGAGCTACAGTCGAAATATCCAAGAAATTGTTGAATAATTAGATTGCTGATGAGTGCAAAATTTAGGGTCATCAGTTTACTCGAGAGATCTTATGACTGTGTTCTCATAGCGAACTGGCTGTTGTTCTTCAGAGCTTCTTACAATTGTGTTATTATAGCAAACTGATTGTTGTTCATTAGAGCCTCTTACGAGTGTGTTCATTTAGTGAACACTTTGTTGTTCTTCAGAGCTTCGACAGATTTCGTACCGTGAGGGTGTGCCGTTCTGTGGTCTAAATATTAGCGTGTCCGTGCACTCACGTATATTCGCGGAAAATAATGTAGTTATTAAATAACCGTAGAATAAAAAATATTTCATTGCAAATTTCTTGAACAATCCAATTAATTGTCTCAAGGACCTTTTGAGAATTTTTATTGTTCTTCCGCCAGTGTTTTTATTATTAGAAAAATTAGAACAGCGTTTCACGAGGAACGAGCAATGTCGGTATAAATTGTGGACAGGTAGAGAAAGGAAGAGGATGATGGGTTTAGGCTGGGGAGGAGAGGGGTGTAAAGGGGATGGGGGGCTCGATGGCCCTTGAAGGAGAGAGAGAAAGGGGGAGAGAGAGGGGAAAGAAGGAAGAGTGGACGAGTGGGACGTCCAGAGAGAGTGAGAGTAACTCACTAGAAACTCAATGCACGGCCTGGACGACAACCAACTGCCTGCAATTTGTGGACTTGCAGACAGGAGTAAAGATGCTCAATATTCTGGTATATTTTTCAAAATAAGTTGTACCTTCGTAAGGAGTTCAATATTTATTATAGTTGAAAATGTTGCTCAAATCATCTCCAATGGCAGGTTGGTACGACGGGTCATTAGCGATAATCGTTATTCCAACGATTATTTCAAGCACGATAATCGTGTATGATATTGCAGTCGAAAATCTTGCAATTGATTTTCTGACGTACATGCATTGCCAGCATCACGTTCCAGCGCAGCTTGATATTCATCCTCGTCCCGGAGGAGTAGAGACCAAATGACATCCATTGACTGAAGCTTTGTTTGTTTGAATGCGACGTGTGTTGCAAACGTTTATTTGAATGCGACGTGTGTTGTAAACGTTTGTTTGAATGCGACGTGTGTTGTAAACGTTTGTTTGAATTCGACGTGTGTTGCAAACGTCATGGTCATCTCAGTGCAACGTATGCCTTACATGCTTGCACTCCCACAGTTTAAAGTCTAACCTTTTGACCTTATAATGAGCTTAACACTTCGTAGTATAAGGTCTCGCTGGTGCACCGCCTTCGTCGTCCTCCGTCTCCAGAGTGAAACATACCACACAAGACAGAGGAGTCTCAGTCGATCATTGATTGCTAACCTTTTCATCCGTCTTTAAATGTTATGTATTCCAAACCCTCGTCCGGCGCTCGCTAAGTTACGAACGACTTTGAATGACTTTAAGTTCGCTTCAGCTTTGAGAGCCATTGTGGATCATTTGTTGAGCCCCCATAAAAGTTCCGGCACGGCAAAAAGATCCAAAGTTTGTCGGCTGAGGAAGAAGGCTGGCGTCACATTGAGCTGTCGGCAGCCGACGAGACGAGCTGACAATTGCCACGCCAGCATTTGTGATCCGACAATCTGCCAGATTTACTGCGGATTACAAGCCGGAACCGTGCGGTTACATCGGGGGATGACGTTGGTTTGTTGCAGCCCAGGCGCCGGCATTTGGCTTGTTATTTGTTTTGTTTATTGACATCATTTATTTGGCCGTTGTGGCTTATGCCGGATTATCTTTTGATGTTGGATGCATTGTAATGTGTACGGCAATATTGCGCGCGAGTTGCATTATTACTGACTGGTAAATTGTGCTTTATATTTCATTGTGGGCCTTATTCATTGGGTTAAAAATTAAGGTAAACTTGCCGATATCATTATGCATAGACGACGCCACAAACGAGCATTTTCTAAACATAAAATCATGTAAAAATTTGGAAAAATGTGCTCATAGTTAAAAAAAGCTTCATGATAGCCAATTAATACTTTGTGGAAAGAAGCGCTTTACATCATTGCTTATCTTATTTATCAGTGTATAATTATTATCAGTGCGCATAAAACGGAAGAAACCTAAAGGTCTTTGTCTGCAATTAGATTTGTTCGATACTATAATCATGTTCATGGTAATCCATCTAGGTTGTGAATTTTCACGTCTGTTTTTTTTTTCGAATTATTTAGGACCATCACAACTTATTTTCATAACAATTATTTACGAATGTGTATAATGGCTCTTCCCTTTCATATTAACAAATCTATTCTTGTTCTACGCTCAACAGTTAAAGCTTATTAATGGTCATGCATGTCATATATACTGGATTCGTGACGTGCACTCGCTTGGCCAGACTTCACGGCAGCATATTTTACTGTAGCAGGTGTCACTGTAGCATGTTTCACTGCGGCAGATTTCACTGTAGCAGGTTTCACTGTAGCAAGTTTCATGTTAGCAGTTTATAATAAAACATCCCTCTGCTTGGTGTTGCAGGTGAAGATTTGGTTCCAGAACCACCGCTACAAGATGAAGCGCGCCGCTAAAGAGAAGGCCATGGCGGAGCAGCCCAGCGGCAACTCGGTGAGCAAGAGCAGCTGTTTATTTGGTCTTGACTTGTTCTTTGAGGGACAGTTTAGATGATCAGAAAATTCCAGAAAGATGTAATACTTGAGAATGGAAACTAATATGCGTGTGGCTTCGATAATCGAAGACAGAGATTACTTAAAATTCAAATTAATTCCGATATGTATATATGAATGTTTCAATACCGCTTTGAATTATTATGACAATTAAACGGTATATATAATTAAACGGTATATATTATATTCTACTCATGTATAGCATTACAAATGAAACAGAAATGAGGGTATTTAAATCTAGAAAAATCCCGAGAAATGGATACACTCAGGTTTTAGAGAGTATTTACTGACGCTTATTGTTTCATCTCGCAGGCAACCACGTCGCCTCGGCGGGTGTCTGTGCCCGTGCTGGTCAAGGAGGAAGGCAAGACTCCTGCAGGAGGCAGCAACTGCAGCGCAACAAACAACAACAACTCCTCCTCCTCATCCACCTCCAACACCCCATCCTCCACCAACGCCTCCAGCACCGTCACTAACTTACCTTCCTCCGATCTGGTGAACGGCAGCGGTGGGCTCCTCGACTCAAAGATTTCGGGGACTCTGTCTTCTTCATCGTTGAACCATCACACTCACCATCATCACCAGCAGCTCAACAACCATCACCACAACCATCATCATCACACACTAAGAGACCACGCGTCTCTGGGCTCCGTGACGCCGACGTCTAACACCAACGCTACGTCGCTCCTAACGTCAACGTCGCTGCTGCATGGAACGCATCTGACGTGCGACGCGTCGCTGGACTCTTTCGGCCGGTCTCAAGGAATGGCGAACGGGGCGGCGGGAACGGGAATGGCGCTCGGAGGGTCATTCCCGTCAGGAATGCCGCCTCTGTATCACAATAATAACGCATACCTGCACCATCAACGCGCGTGGTAATGGTTATCACAAGCGACTATAATGGTTCATGCATGTAGGTGGTTTGTCTATAATGTAATCGTGATAGGTTAATCTACGCGCATCTGCTGCAGGAACGCTGAACTTCTTTAACTAGAAAAAATTCTTGAAGGCATCAAGCCTGACGGGTTCATCTGTTTTTCTCAACTCCCGTTTAACAATAATTATTTTCTTGCTGTCGATTTTAATATTTGATAAATTTGTTAATACTCTCGTCGATATTGCTGTTCATTCCTCAGGAAATTGCTTACAGACCGAAAGGGAAAATGAAAGCGAAAATGTTCACGCTCGATTTACATGAATCGTAGATTTAAGCGGAACGAAAATTCATCCGTCGTTGACTTTGAATTATTGATACACGAATTGCATGATTTATCGAATATATTAATTATGATTATTGAAAAGTTGAATTTTTCCACACAATTGTGCTTAAGATATATTGGACTCAGTAGCCTTCTGATAGTCGTGTCACAAGTGCAAAAATATACTGAATAAATGGAATAATAGAAAATTTTTACACAAGCAAATCGCAAAAGGGCAAAATGTGAATATTTTCCTCACGAGGAGAGGAATCTGCCAAGCAGAAGACAGGCACCGAAAATGTTTGTAAATGTTTGTAAATGTTGTTATTTCTCTATTCTTGAATGTCATATTTATGTACTTAAGTTATGTGAATGAAACGCTTGTTGGCCACTGGCGGAAAACGGTGGAAATTCAAGAAAAAAATTTCCAGTTTCCTCCAAATCCAATCCCAGGCTCAAAACTCCATCTGCTCCCTCCCCAGTGGTGGCTCTGATGTCTTGGATATTGCGAAGAAGCCCGCGATTTGTTTTTAGATTCACATTGAAATCGAGGATGATTCTGAAGCACTAAGTTACTGCTGGCAATGAGGTTGAAATATAAATAATTCTGCACAACCGGAGTCCAGAAGCATGACTGTGACCCCGACATTATTAAGTTGTTGCGGAACCAAGAAAATTGCGACATATTTGTCATGAGAAAAAGACTACTTACAGTGCAGGTAATTAGAGACTAGCAGCAGTATTGTGTACATACGAATAGTTAGTTTACATGTGTGTGACGTGACCTCATGAAGTTGGTGGTAGGATTACATAGCAATAATATGTTGATTGATGTCCGCGACAAAATAAAAGCGATTTCGCAAGCATAATGCTAGCTTGTTTTATTGACTTCATTCTGTGCATTTATTTCTAATGCGGGCTTTGGGTTTTTCCAATCTAAAGATTTATGACTCGAATTCATATTTCTTAAATATACCATGCAAATGGGACAGTTGTACAAAAATGAATGCGGATGAAGATAAAATCGAACCTTAATTCCCTTGACTGGGATTTAAATTACTCGTTGAAGTTCAGTTATTTAGATTGACTTCTCGCTAAAGATTCTGTGATTTAATTTCCTATTGTGTCAGCATTTCTCTTACTAGAAAATCATTACTCGCTGCACGGGTGAGAATTTTGAACAAAACGGTAGGATTATAGTCAATGATGGTGTATTCGTGATGGTGTATTCGAATTCGAAATACGAAAAGTTCGTGAGCCAGGGCATGTGTTCATATAGACGCCAAATGCCATGGCGTCAAGATTTCAAATGGCGTGGCTTCGAGATGCCAAATGCCATGGCCTTAGAACGCCAAATAGGACATTAAGTTGTATTTTACAGGTTATAAATCCTCCAGAAAATTTCTGTCTAGGAATTCAAGAAACAGAATGAATATTCCCTATTTAATTTCATGTTCAAGATAGAGATGAGATATAAACACGCTCACCGAAGCTTACCTGCCGTCGGTGCGCTCTATAGCTACACCCCAACCATTCAAGTCCATGCATGAGCGAACGCCGAGTGCGCGAAAACTTTTGAAGAACGTTTCAGTTAAATAGCTCAAACTGTTCCTAGTGAGGAACATAGCGGAGCTGTTGTTAGAAATAATTATAATTCAAGCTAATATCTAGACTCAATATATTTAATTAAAGAAATTAAGGTTAGACCTCAGCTCAGAATAATAATAATTTTTCAAGTTTCTGGCTGGTCACCAAAAACTGAACCTTTAATCAAACTAGCTTTAATCAATACATTGGTCAGTGTATTAAAAAGTCATTCAATTTTATCTGATAAAAGTGTAGTGAAAACATGTAACTTTGTAAACAGATTTCCAGGAAAATTTTGTTTTGAATAACAATATCAATTATTTTGAATTACAATAACAATAACAAGAAGCCTCTGACTGACATTAGGCTTGTTGTTCCGTCATTAATACACAATATATCGGTTAGTACGTTCATCAATAATGAGAAGTGTAGAATTAATTAATCAGATCTGAGTGAGAACATGCAGCACCATTACCCCGAACTCCAGCGTTCAGTTATGAAACTCATGCCACATGTTGCTGGATCGCTCATGGAATGTTACAGGATTCAAATCGCTGCCGTACAATGACGAGACGCGAGCGTTGCTTATGGAAGAGCAGCTGTGGGATGCCTTTGTTATTTTAGTCCTGATGACTTGAGTTGTTTATGTTATTACTGTACAGCTGTGCTGTCATCATCACTGCTTGTACAGTTGCTTGTACAGCGGTGCTGTCATCATCACTGCTTGTACAGTTGCTTGTACAGCTGTGCTGTCATCATCACTGCTTGTACAGTTGCTTGTACAGCGGTGCTGTCATCATCTCTGCTTGTACAGTTGCTTGTACAGCTTTTTGTTATCATCATTAGCTGCTTGTACAGTTGCTTGTACAGTTGCTGTGCAGAGGTCGTGTTCCAGGGCGCGACGCAACTCAGGTTTAGCGTCCGTTGTTGTCTGCGTTTCTTCAACCTGAACACATTTTCGCTGAATGAATCAATGATGAATATTTTTCTAGGGTTGAAGCACATCCATGGTGCATAGTCTTCTGCCATGCGGCCTGAGTTTTTCAATCAGGTAGAAATTCTTTTGAAAGTAACTTTCGTCGTCGAGGTTATATGAAAATCTTGTTCACCTTTTCATGAACTGAAACCTTTTTTGGGTTAATGTATTTTTAACGATGTCTCGAAATTTTCTGTAGAAATAAATATTTATAGTTCCTTCTACAAATTTAACCGTTTTCTCAAGATCTCAGCCGTTAAATTAATTGAATAAACAAAACTCAGTGCAGCCACAGGAAGCAAGTGAAAAAATTAACTGTTTTCCCGAAAACAATTTTGACTGCGAAAATTGAAAAAATTTTCCGAAAGTTGAATATTATTATGAAAGTTAGCTATTTTTCCGAAAGTTGAAAATTTTTCTGAAAGTTAACTATTTTTCCGAAAGTTGAAGATTTTTCCAAAAGTTTATTATTGACTCCGAAAGTGAAATATTTTTCCGAAAGTTGAATATTTCCGCAAAAATTGGCTGTTCACCAACGGGCAAAGAATAACTGAGCCTGTATGACCAGTAAACGAGCTAGTACTGCACCAACAACAGCAACAATCAGACCAACACTGCACCAGCGTGCATGTTACAACATCATCAGCTGCATCACAGCTGCATCACTAGCTCCAGCTACATCACCAGCATTAGCAGCTTGAGTAGTAGCAGCAGCAGCACCACCAGCAGCACCAGCAGCACCAGCAGCACCAGCAGCACCAGCAGCACCAGCAGTTCTCAAGGGCCGGCACTTGAGAGCTCGAGAGGCTGCGTTCGAACGCGTGGTCGAGGCGCTGGCTTCGGCTTCGCGCGTTCGGGCGCCTGCAAGAAGAGTGATGAGGAATGTCGCTGAGTGAGCCAAGTTAATTGTGACCTAAACAAACGTGATTTAATTTAAGAAACACGTAGAAAAGTTTATATTATTGTTCGTATTATGTAATATTAAATCAATGGGATAAAAAATGTCAAAAATCTTCTTGGGAGTCTGAATTGAAGCGAGTTTTTCGGTTCATTTGACTAATTTTGGCGGCGAGACACAATCAAATTATGACAAATTGACCACTAGTTACGTGGTTTATTTCAAACTACTAACCTGCGAGCCCAATAACAAACTGCCGCGAAATGCATGCGGTGAACTTCAAACTGCCACGAAAATGCGGTCAATTAGAAACATCAGGTGAAATTTCTATGCACATTTTATACGATAATACTCGTTCATGAGATTAAATTATGCATGACTGCTAAAAATTTCTTAACAATTACAAATTATCTCGGAAATTATACTGGCGACAAACATGACCAAGTTGCTGGGACAGCGACATTTCCACAAAATAACTTGAACTTTAATAACGCCTCCAAGTCTATAACGGCGATAAACAAGTGCAAGCGTACACCTGATAACATGCAGACATGTCACTAGTTACAGCTCAGTTCGTAAGCTGTCACTGAGACTGCAATGTAAAAAACATGTCAACGCTGGGACCCTCGCCCACCCTACACCCCCAGTCCCTCGCCCCACCCACGCCCCCTCTATTGATCGCTCCCAATAGAGAGAGAATAGCTTCAGCCAACGCAGTTACGCTTAAGTCAATAGCGCGTAGCTGCTACGGCTGTATACTGCTGCAACTGCATGCTGTTGTTGCTGTATGCTACTGCTGCAGTATACAACTGCAGCTCTGTACTGCTGATGTGTACAGCTGCTGCTGCCGTATACTGCTGTTGCCTGTGCAATGCATCACTGCGCATCACTGCGCATCACATTACGATGCGTTTAATATGACAGCCTTGCGTCACTCCACACCCAATGTAACGGACCGCATCTTCACGCATGGTCACGCACCCCTCAGTCCAGCCGTCACGCACCCCTCAGTCCAGCCGTCACGCGTGTCTCAGTCCAGCCGTCACGCGCCCCTCAGTCCAGCCGTCATGCGTGTCTCAGTCCAGCCGTCACGCGTGCCTCAGTCCAGCCGTCACGCGTGTCTCAGTCCAGCCGTCACGCGTGTCTCAGTCCAGCCGTCACGCGTGTCTCAGTCCAGCCGTCACGCGTGTCTCAGTCCAGCCGTCACGCGTGTCTCAGGTTTCAGGTGTCAGTGAGCAGCTCAGCGCGTCGCATGTCACGCGTGGACCGCGTAACGCACGCGCTATCTCTTGTATCCCTCTTACCCAGCGCTTAGGTTTACTATATGGCAATACTATTCCAGACCAGTCAATGTTGTAAATATACGTACAACTCGTCTTAGATCGTAATTAACTTACGATGGCTCAAGTTGTATGTCGACGATTTCATTGCATGTTATGCGCTGATTGTCAGAGCAGCGCATGGGTGGCATATTAATATAACGATGCGTTATCTAACCTTAATTTAATTAAAATTAATCAGTAATTAGTAGTTATGTCTTCCGGTGCAGCCAGCACAACTATGCAGAACTATGCAGGCCACTGCAGGTCTGAACGGCCTGCAGTGAAGTGATGCTCCAGCCTTCTGGCTGCCGTTAATTAGTTGAATGAGATTAGTTTACTGAGTCCTGAAATGTAATTGGCGCTTGTATAATTTCATGGCAGGCTTATTTATAAATATTGCTATCATGAATGAAGACTCGCCGACATTTTTTCTAATTTATTTTAGTTCTCATTCCAACATGGTACGTAGGCGTAGGTTTTTGACGTCTTTTGACGAATTGAATTTCAAAGATAGATAGTAATGATGAGAAATGTCGGAAATTATGAATAAAGAAAACTCAGTTGACGAACGCGAGGAAATATTAATATTGTTAATATTTCCTTGTATTAATAATATTATAAATATAAGGAAATTAGTCATTATTAGTTCTTAATTATTTTAATTTATTTATATTAAGTTATCCTAATATTACAACACTTCTCTTTAACTTCACTTCTTGTTTGTTTGTCTGTCTGCTACAAATCTTATAATCGAAATTTAACATACTTTTACTTATCCTATCGAAGTGAAATTTTGCACATTTGTGTAAAGTTGGAGACAATGCATGAATCAAATGATAAAATAAATGATTTTACAAATTAATTTTTTTTTTCAATATTAGGAAATTGAAAAAATAATTTTGTTAGCTACAAATCTTACCTAACTCATATATGACACACTTTTACCTGTCCAATTGATCTGAAATTTAGCACACTTGTGTGAAGTCGGTGGCAATGCATGAATCAATTGACAGAATAAACAATTTTGAAAAAATTAAATATTAAAAAAAATTGAAAAATTAATTTTGTTAATATTCGAAAATTAAATGAGAAATTCATTGTTCATCTTTAATATTGGAGACACCGGATTCGTTAGAAGTGATGTCTTTAAAAATTAATTTTTAAACGTATTTTATTATTTATTATCGTATTAATATTACGGAAATCCGCCCCTGCCTTCCGCCCGCATGGACCGGAGCGCGGAACGTGACTTGGACACGACCGCGCCGGCTGCCGTGTGGCTGAGACCCGCGTCACCGATGGCAGGTTTGATGTGACAAAACATTTAAGGAATTGCAATTGACCCGCTATTAATTGAGCGCATTCGACCATGTAAACGATCGTTTCTAGGAACATTTAGCATTAATTAAATTATATAACAGTCCAAACTACTTTGAATACTCGTTGGTATTTCTGATTTGTTTTGAACGAGTTATAGAGCCCTGCAATGTCTTATACATTGCGTTGGGTTGTACATAGTTTACACATCGCGACATAGATTCTTATGATAATTCCCCCATAACGGTGATCTACCAGACTATCTAAATCCCTTTCAACACCTTGTCCAGTAAATAACTACACTCGGAACTGTGTTACGTAAAATGACATAATATACAATATTTAGCAACTTATGGAGTTGCTAAATATTGTATATTATCCCCAGTTTCTTTAATCCGACATTATTTTACTCGTAATTTGTACCTTCCAGATTGGAGCAATTTTCCAGACGTTGGACGCAGCTCGGTTATTGCTTCATTATTGCATGCGGCGTCACTCGCGCGAAGCTTGTCCTCGTCATTTGCTGTCTGGAGCGACGACGATGAAACACTGTAAAGAAAAGTCATGGACTTTTTGCTCCTAGTTGTGCTCAATATACTAGCAGGGGCGTGAATAATGTGTATAAAAAATATATGGAGCCTGGTACAAATTCTTACTAAGACGAAGTCGCTGATTGCCAAGTAGCAATTGGATTTAAAGGACTCGGACAGCCTTTGAAATTGTCGCTAAATTCATTACACTTATAAAATTTCCGAATCGCGAGGGTCAAATAAAATTGAGTCGAAAGATTCGAAAAAACTTTCATTTTACAAGTTTCATGTACGCTTCAATTTATGAAATTCGCTAGATTATTGAATAAAATTTTTATTAATACATGCAAATTAAAAAAAGCTTTTTTAAGATCTAGAAAACAAAAGATCGGGGAACAGCAAATGACTTCTTACAAAAGAACTTTGATGGCATACATTTTCGTGTCACTTTCTAGAACAATCGTACATGATATTTTTTTCAATCACGGGAAAAAGTTTGTGTTTTCTTGCAAATCAAATGAAAGTTCTTTCGTTCAGCGCTTCCGATCGCACAAAAAGTCATGAAAAGGCGACCATAAAATATCGGAACTTTGTCAAAGACGCGAGGTACGAACTTCATCGAGTGGACTTTGAAAAGTTAGGCCATATGAGCGTCAATTCTGACACCATCGAAGATAAGTTTTGTCGTCATGGCATTTTTTCCTCCATTTTCCCGCAGAAATGGAGGACATTTAGCGGCGTTTAAATTATAAGTTAAATTACTGAAAATTTGTCTATTTTGACGGACTGTCAAAATTTTAGAACATCGGTGCGAAGAAGGTACATTTTTTGTATGTGTGTATACTTTTTCTGACAGTCAAGCTACGTACGAGCCTCGATCGTATGTGTTTTCTAGGACGCACAGAGGTAAAATGTATATGAATAAAATCAGTAAATTCTCATACAAAGAATAATTAAACGTTGATTGTTAATATGCAAGACAATGGAGTATGCATAATTAGCGCGAAAACAAGGTTTCGAACGAACTATTATCATACAGCGACTCATGCAGCGGTCGTTCGCACACTAAATTGGATGTTCACATTTACATTTTAACTCACTTCGCAGCCAAGAAGGTCCATTTTATACGTAATTATGGGTCGACATTCAATATCATATCGTAAAATGCTGACGTTATCCTTAATTCAAGAGTTGAAGCGTCTGTAATTATAGAAACATATGAGGCTAAATATTTTCAGAAGTAATATGCGTTTAAAAATTACTTTTTATAGACAACACTTCTAAAGAGGCCAGTGTCTCCGATGTTACGCATGTAACTTGATTTTTGATTTGATTTTTAAATATTTAAAAAACGTGTTTTTCTAATTCCTTTATATATAATTTTTTATTTCTAAAATTATTTATTCTGTCACTTGATACAAGCATTGTCTCCAACTTTACACAAGTGTGCAAAATTTCAGATTGATTGGACAGGAAGAAGAGTGTTAAATATCGATTATGAGATTTGTAACAGACAAACAACAAGAAGTGAAGTTAAAGAGAAGTGTTGTAATAAAGCATCAGGTGCATGTATCACATAGAAGATTCACCTTTAATGTTTTAATTGCCATATTGGCCAAAACTTTACTCTAATTGGCTAAGCGAATGTGATCCCGAAGCTGATTGATTGGAATAATTCTCCAGTGATTGAGCGGATAATTGGATTAAAGAGGATGAAGGAGCTGGTATTTCAAGTCTCTGATTGGATGCGTGGAGCGAACCCCGCAATCTGAGCTCGAGGATGTAGCACAACTCGGATACATTTTAGCGGATATGGGGCTATATTTTAAAACTTTTTAACTCGTATTGAGGTCCTTTTGATTTATGTAGGTCGACAAACTACACTCGAAGATTTATAAATCTTGGCAAATTCGTCGGTTTACCAATATAATTTATTACGATCTTTTATTTCTATGCAATAACTCGTATTGAGTTTAGAGGTCTTTTTGAATTTGCTAGGTCGACAAAATTCATTCGAAGATTTATAAATCTTGGCAAATTCGTCGGTTTACCAATATAATTTATTACGATCTTTTATTTCTATGATATAACTCGTATTAAGTATTGAGATCTTTTTTATTTTTCTAGGCCAACAAAATTCATTCGAAGATTTACAAATTCTTGATAAATTCTGTGGTTTCTCAATATAGTTTATTAAGATGTTTTATTTCCATGCAAATTAAAACAGATGTGTTGAGACTACGTCAATGAATATTAAATTATTTTAGTGAGCTGACACCGCGCACTGCAGCCGCTGACAGCGCCCTAACTGTCAGCCGCAGACGCCCTCCGAGCCGCGGTATTGTGAGCCGCAGAAAAACCTGCCGCGCAGACTTGTGAGGTGGCGTTACTGTCTGCGTGGTGAGGAGGCGTTACTGTCTGCGTGGTGAGGTTGTGGTGACATCCACCACGCGGTAGTTGATTTGGTTCCTCATGCTAATGCAAATATATTGCAGTCAAATAAATGTTTTCTGAAGGAAATTGCGTGATAGAAATTGCATATTATTGAGTGATAAAATAAATTCTGCACACACATCAAGGTGGGGTGCTTCGATTGCCGCGAATAATTTAAGTGGCGGCATTTCCAGCCATATATGGTGACGGTATCGATGAATGGTTGTGAAACTTTATTGAATCACATCTCGAACAATGGAGCGACAAAGTATCTATAAGTAAAATTTTAATAGAATTTTTACTTTTCATAGTAATAAATATATAGTAAACTGCTGACCACCTCATAGAAGAAGTAAAGTTTACAATATTCTGCTGATATTCACTACTCAGTAACATTTGTATATACTTCATGACGGTAGCATCATAAATAAGGTCTATTTTGTCTGATTTTGTCACGCGTCATTTGCATGGAGCTCACGGTAGCGACTTAAACCGCGCGCAGGATACGGACCGCGACCGATCATATTTGCGAGCTGTCAGCAGCAGGCGACATTTGATCCAGATTAGGATTAGTGGCGATGTGGCAGGCGGCCACTGTTGTGTGGCGGCCATATCATTTGTACGCTGCTGCGTTACTGTGAAACACATATTATGAATGTTTACTTTTATTTTTATTTTCAATTATGCAGTTTGAAATTTGATTTGATTTTCTTCCTCAATCCGAGATTCATTAATTTCAAGAAATTTATCTCTCTCCTTAGTATTACCGGTAAAGAAGTCGAACTTTCCAGCAAATTCAATGAATGAAATGTGGGTTCTGCGTTGAATGCGTTTCTTTACCAAAACCTCATTCAAACTTGGTTACAAAATTAAAAGATTACATAAAGTCAAAATGATAAATGGATTCACGGACTATGATTATCAGCATAACGGATATAAGGGTTGAACTACAAAAATAATACACATCTTTATCGAATTCGCCTTCTACATCAATTTAACAACCTCGGGGGAAATCGCAAAATATCCTTTAAATTGACAAGTTTCCTCCAATACGGCACGTATTGTCAGCTCTTGTACATGGCCTAAAAACGGCCAGGACCGTGTAAAAAAAGGCCTATAATTAAAAATATTCTAGTAAATTTACAGGTTCCGGTGCAAAAATTAATTTTTCCTTCTTTCCGTTCTTTTTAAAATTCAACGAGATAGTACTGCCAATTTAAATTTTTGTCGACAAACGCAATTGTAAAAAAAACTAAATTGCGGAATTTGTCCAGTAAAATGACCTAGCAACCCACCGGTGTGTCGTGTAAATATTAACGTGCAACGTAAATGTAAATATTAATGAGCCGTTCTTGAACGGCCGTTACAGCTTCTCTTGTAATTCCAAACGCCGTTCATGATAGTGCATATACTTTGATTACCGCAGTAACAGTAACTGGTTTACTGGTTGGGACAAACGCAAACAAACACAGCGATATCGTGAGTATTTAAAGGTGTTTGTTGACGGAACATTACAGACAGAGTGAAGGTGAACATTACACAATTTGAGAAGGCACGAGGAATAATCTACTAGAAAAAAATTAGAAACTTTCAGTAGCCCTAAGAAATTATTGATATTAAAATAATAACAGATAACGTCTAAGATAAAGGTTTTCATTTAAATACATGGAAATAATTTTGATAAGAATTGAATGTGAAAATTTGATTATGTCTGAAGGTGAAAGTCGCCACCTTGAACACATCAGCAGTGAACCTAATTCCTATGTCTATATAGTGTTTTTTGCCTCGAGTGCCTCGTGCTCGAGTAAGTCCTCCGAAACATAGTAACTAGTATTTAATTTTCTGATATCACAAACGCGATGTTTGTGATATCTACTTTTATCCGCGGTAAAAGCATCACCCACGAGAAGAGCATCACCCACGAGAAGAGCATCACCCATGAGAGAGCATCACCCACGAGAAGAGCATCACCCACGAGAAGAACATCACCCACGAGAAGAGCATCACCCACGAGAAGAGCATCACCCACGAGAAGAACATCACCCACGAGAAGAACATCACTCACGAGAAGAACATCACTCACGAGAAGAACATCACTCACGAGAAGAACATCACTCACGAGAAGAACATCACTCACGAGAAGAACATCACCCACGAGAAGCCATCAGTCAATGGGAGAGAACCTGTGAAAAATATATGTATGACATTTATTTCTTAAGAGCTTAGTAATATGTGCCGCTGAGCAAGTAAGTTTCATTAATATATAAGGAATCGCTTAACTCCTTATTACCGCTCAGCAACACCGATTACAATTTTCCGAAAAATCAAGGACAAGAAGAATGACGTTCATCCTGACGCACATTATTGTATATACAGTATACTGTTTAGGTGATAGTGTATTGAAAGACACTATGATTACCACAGCGAAAGATTGTGCTCTTTAGGTGATAGTTTATTGACAGTTATTATAAATATATCAGACTTGATGGGGCTGTTTTTAAATTTTATATTGCCAAACACAATGAATATCTTTTATTAGTCGGTCTGTCTTCTGAACGGAATAACAGGAAGTTAATTTATGCAGCAATTAAGCGAACGACGGGAACGCCGGGCCTGTTCTTAATGTATGCGAGGGGAAACAGCGATGGACTGCCGCCCGTAGAACAAGAAGGAAAAATCACCAAGAGGCTATGATATCTTGAATAATATTTCAGATAAATCTTTTTCTTCAGCTCCAATTTTTGATTGATAATGTGTTGATGTTAGAACTTTTTTGGTTGATTTTTACAGGGCAAAGGGTTTGGGTGCGAATAAATTCAAATTAATAAGGATGAAAAAATATTAATATAGTTTAGTAAAATAATTGATCTTTGAAATCAAATGACTAGTTATACACATATTGATATTGTGCATGAGGTTTCAGCCTGTAGATACCAGCAAAGCGCTGTCCTGCAGAGAGCGCTGGTGAAAAAAGACAAAATTCTCGGCCATGTCATGGGGTGAACTTCATCAAATTACTACGATAAACCCAGACTCTGTTTCCAGATGTGGCCGTTGAGTAAAGCGGACGGTTAAGTCACTCACTCATGCGCGACATGATATTAAGGGAAATTTTTTGCACACACGAAAGGCTGGAGTCGCGACACAAGTGCCGTCCTTGATCACTGTTCGCTGACTCTGTATGACATCGCCCCGTACGGCGCTACAGGCGTCACAATGACGCTTACGAGGCACAAATGTTACGTTAATACAGCACGTAACACTAAACGTAATACTGGTCATTATTTTACAACGTGGCACAAATGTTCCGTTAGTACAGCACGTAACGCTACACGTAATACTGGTCATTACTGTACGACGTGACACAAATGTTCGGTTAGCACAGCACGTAACGCTACTAAGAGTACCGATTATTACTTTACAACGTGACACAAATGTTCCGTTAGCAAAGCACGTAACGCTACACGTAATACCGTTCATGTAATTACTTTACGAACACTACACTAGACATTTTTATCATTAATTATTAATTGAATCATTGCATACTAAATACGATTTACTATGGCTTCTCCTAGTATTTCTAGGACATGAATGATGCACAGTCGTATAATTGTTAAGCAAATAAAATTTTTCATAATTTGTGAATTATAAAATAAACATGCGACGTAAATCACCATTTCAATGTAGCAAATGTCGAGCAAAGCTAAAATGCAGGCTTTCCCGGAGAGGTTTTAGTTTGAACTCACAGCTGTTACTCAAAAAGGTGGTCAGGGTTCCTGAAAATGTATTTTTTCTTTCTTTTCATTTTTTTCAATTTTTTGGCAAACGCCCGCTCGGGCCACTACGAAAGATTTGGTTTTACCAGAGAAAAGAGTTAATACTTGAACTGTATGGTCACGTCGCAAGATCACAAATTAAATATATAAGTGATGATCTCTTCAATCTATACGCTGTTTTTCATCCACAGCTACCAGCAGAGAATTATATTTATTATTTACGGTATTTTCTACAAGATATCAGTTTCCGTGTCTATCGTTATCAATTGATGATACATCGCAAGACATATATTTATCAATGAATGTCATGCCACTGCAATGTGATTAACCGCGAGTGAAAGTAGATGTTCGGCTGGTTTATGCTTATTCTCAGTAAAACCAAACTGAACGGTACACATAAATCGAAAATTTGATAAATACAATTCAACATCAAATACTCACATATAGGCCCTGCAGCTCTCACAACCGTAACAATTAGGGCATTCCAACTTGAAAACCACACGGCAACCCAATAACCCTGTTTATTTTACTTGAATTAAATTATTTAAATGAGTCCCGTCAATAATTTGAATAAATTTACTTCGAGTCAATAAAAATAACGCATAAGCTTCTTTGCTGGCCGCATGCCACATATTTCACAGTTATGGCCGAAACATAGCCGGCCAACCGCCAGCCATCGAGTCAATATGCTGGCTGATGTTACGGCAGGATAAAGAGTGTACGATGTTACGGCAGGATAAAGAGTGTACTAGAGTGTACGATGTTACGGCAGGATAAAGAGTGTATGACGTCACTAGGAAATCTTCCAAACAAACAGTCGGTCGTGCTGCTGCTTCACAGAGCTTCATTGCAGAAGTGCTGAGTCATGCATGGGCTCGTCTATACGCTGGAGTAATGGACGTCTAAAGACCAGTAGCAGCTTTTATTGTGCCACCAAGGAATTATTCGGGCTCTATCAAATACTAATATTTGCTTTATACTTACAACTTTTTTTACTTCGTTATTTGCTTCCCTGGAACTCTTCCTTAGGAATCTACTCGTCATTCTTCATAGAAATGAACTTTTTAGTGGCGCTGTTTTCGTGGGACTTTATTTGCTCTGCGTGTAAATGATGGAGTGTTGAGGCTCGTATATTGGAGCTCACAGTGACTAGGGAATTATATTTCTATGTATCTTTGAGGCTAAAAATATCAATAACAATTTAATCAGGTTTATCTGATACTTTTCTCATATTTGAATCATAAGCCAATTCTTCACCATATGAATATGAAACAATTTCCAAGCTTTGTTTTATGTTATACTGTCAGTTCAAAATTTTCTAAGATATTATAAATGGCAAATAATCAAAACGAGCTAAAAGTGCCTCCGTATCACTGTTACAGCACATGGGATGGGATCATCAGGTCAACGGAATAGGCGGAACGGTTGAATAGATAAGATAGTGTAATTAGGACGCGTTAACAGCTCCCTTAACAGGCTAAGTTGGTCAGGTTAATAGAAGCCGCGATGCCGCGCGCCACGCAATTTATCTTTGCGTGCTGAGCGAGTAGCGGCATGAGCTACATGTCTGCATGAGGTTCAGAATCGCAATCATTTCAAACATACAGTATTCTATTTTTAGTAAAATAATTGTGATATAATATTCAATGTTGCTTCTGCCTTTCAAAGATAGGGCATAAATATTGCATAGACATACTTTCTATCAAATTCATAAATTTTATTGTCATCATCCCGATGATGTAGAGACTGAAGCAGCTCCATTTCATTACCTCTGTCACATCCGCTACTCTCGTTACTTCCATATTACTCACGTCGGACGAGTACCGCACTCTATAGTAGCTGGAAGTGTAGGGTATATATTCACAATATTCATTATTCATTATATTTATCCATTTTCATTTTTCCTCAAATTGCAGTCAGCCAACCATCCGAACTTCTTGTAGATTGACTTTTTCTTTCTTCTATAGTTCAGTAACCAGTCATTTCATTTCAACCTTGCCCGCCAACGTTTGGGGTTAGACCTTACATAGCTCCTGTTATATTCATATTATTCGTAAAATTTTCTAGTATAATATACTTCATACAATCATGTAAAATATGTATGTTATGCAATTAGCGTTATAAGAGTTCGTTTATTCAACAGGTGCAAAATATACCATACTTACAAATACATTGTTCACAACATCAGCTGGTTAATTACTAATAGATTCCACACTCGCATTTCCTTTAGCTTATCGTGGTACAGAAACACAGAAATATATGCCATAACCATATGGCATATCACGATATGCCATAACCAGCAGCCGTGCTTTACGACGATCGCAAACGTGAGCCATTATCCTGCCATCATTCAGTTTGATACGCTAGGCTCTCTAGAAAATAGAATAAATTGCATGCATGAAAATAGAATGAATTGCATGCTTGATTGCAAACGAAACAAATCAGCACATAAATGCGTGAACAACAGATTAACAGATTAAATTGTTATAATAACTGTTTATGGTTAACCTCGGGGTTGCTGAGTGCATGGTCATGAGCACCAAGATTTGAGAAGCGACTTAGGGGTTCAGATCTCGCAACCAGCCATGATAATTTTATTTCAGATCGGCAGGGTGGCCGGGCGCGATGGTCAGAGATCGGTGACAGGCTAAAATGGCTTAATTAGAGCAGGTGCCGGTCAATATATTATAAAATAATTATAAATTAAATGTATTATTTTAGAGTGTTTGACATCATCGTGATGATCATAGTTATGCATCTGCGTAATTAGGCTTGATTTTGACATTATCTACAGGGCTTGGTGATTTTTTATATATGATATTGTAAAGTAAACTGTACATAGTAATTTTACAGCACCCCAGTACACGTTGTACAGCACGCACGTTGTACAGCACCCCAGTACATAATGTACAGCACACATATTGTACAGCACCCAGTACATAATGTACAGCACACATATTGTACAGCACCCCAGTACATAATGTACATGTGGCGGCCACTGTTACGTGGCGACCACTGTTGTGTGGCGGCCACTGCTGTGTGGCGGCCACTGTTGTGTGGCGGCCACTGTTGTGTGGCGGCCACTGTTGTTGGTCGTATTCTAACGTCTTTCCTGGTAAGAAAGAGGCAAACTGTGGCCATATTGGCCTCGGCATGTAATAGTTGTGGGAAATATTCAATTCCTACATAAAAGCTTTTCATTTATATGTCTTAACGAAATTGCGGAATTACCGATTCCATGGAATCTGCAGCTAGTTTGCCGAATCTGTATAATCAGCTTTCTATACTTCAGGAATCTGGGGTTAGATCAATCATCCAATTCTTTTTTAATAATTAAAATTAAAGAACTTGACCGAACTTGACCTAACCTTTTCGTACTCTAATTGTCGATTCATGTTCTAACTCTAAC